CTAAGGGTCTCTATTGGCTTGGTTCACTTTCTTCCATAACATATATCCCTCTTATTGTCATGAGTGATACTCATTTGCAAACAAGAAAAAAAAGCAATGAAAAAACCTGAAAGGACAACCAGTATATGATAAAGGGAATTACTGTCAAGTTTTTAGGAGCAGTTTCCTCTATGAAAAATGTTATTTAGCACTTTCCTCAAAAGTCATTGTGTCCTAGGAAAGGAAAGAACATGGAGTTGAGTCAAGAGGCACGGATTTCAGCACGACTTCTTCTGTACCCATGATGTGTGAGTTTGGGCAAACCACTTGGTCCCCTTGCCTCAGTTTCCTTATTTGTGAATTCAGACTTTCACCATCTGCCTCTTTGTTATCCACAGGGATGCTGCAGGGGACAAATAGCATAATGCATGTCCAAGTTCTTTGCAAAAAAAAAAAAGCCACTGACTGCTCAATATAGCATGCCTCCCAGTCCAAGCCGAGCCCTGCATTCTGCCATATAAAGGGTGCCAGGGAGGTGACGGCAGGGACCAGTCATCCCAGTGGCGTCAGCCTCTCCCACTGTGCCTGCCTAGCCTTTGTGACTAGGAAATATCTGCGTTTGCATATCTTACAATTAAAAAATTAATGAAGGTGTTCAACAAGCCTATATTAATCACAGACTGTTTTCCAGATAATACTCTTTCTGCAATGGATGTTACAAAGTGAAGTGCAGATGATCCCTGGGTGATGATCCCATCAGCCCCTTTATTTTAAAGAAACTGTGAGATGAGGACCCAACTAGTTTTAACCACTTCTTAAGAGCTGTGTAATTTTAGAGAAGTTGTGTGACCTCTCTGAACCTCCATTTTCTTATCTAGAAAAGGGGAGTAAATAGTTGCCATCCCAGGAAGGTTGTTTATTTGTTTGTTTTCCCCATCGAGAAAATGAAATAAAGTAGATAACTAGCTTTATCATTACTCGAGGGTGAGGCTGGTTTTTATTATCCAAGGTCACAGAGCTTATTAAAGGGATCCTGGGAAAGCTAGCCCCCATAGAGCCTGCTTTTCCTCCGTGACCCCTGTGACCTTGAGCAACCTGGGGAAGAGGTAATTGAACAGAACTACTACTTCGGAGGAAACAGAATCAAAGTATCGAAGCTATTGACTCAGCCCGAAGGCAGTAAACAGTGCTTAGGTTTCTGACCTTTTCGCATCCTGGGGCAGTCAATAACCTGGCCGCCGGCTGCCGGGCCTGCCACCGATTCCGATTTGGGAGCGCTTTAACCTTGAACTGAGCTCCAAGTAACCAAGGCAACAGGAAGTCGGCTCCTGCGCTGGAGGAGTAGGAATCCATAAATCAAGTCCCTAATGCAAACACGGTGTGCAGGTAGAGGGTTGAGGGGATAAGTGGTCATGAGAAATTACCTTTGAAAATGAGTGACTGTCCCTGGGTAGGCTGCAGCAGTTTCAAAGACTTTGAACAAAATGTATCAATAGAGGTCAACAGGTTATAACAGAATGTTTTCATATAGGCTTAGCTTTTTTCTATTTCCTCTCCACTCTGTCTTTAATTATGAACAGATGTTGGATCCACAAAGTTATTAGCATTGTTATTTCCTCCTTTAAAAAAGTGCTGGCCTACAAATAAAAGCCGCAGTACAATTTGTCCTGCGTTGGGACTTGGAGATGATCTGAACACATCTACCGAGTGTGCTCTCCATACAGCCTGGGTCTGAATTTGACACAGTGATCCCTTCCCAGATGAAAGCCTTTTCGTCTTGAGAACTTGGTTCTGAGCTGTTTCACATTCACCTGGTCATTTGGGGACGTCTCCATGGAGCGGCGGCGGCCACCTGGAATGAAGGGGAGCAAAGACTTTCAGGGGCCAGGCTGCCTCGTGCTCTCTCCCAAGAAGTCACTCATTCCAGTCTCCTGAGACCTCTGCTCTCAGACAGATTTTGTGGATTGCAAGCGCTGTTAGGTTAGCCTTTGTTTAAAACTTATCCAGTATTCTTGCCCTTGTATACTGTATTTCTTGGAATGCTTCCATAATCCTCTCAAAACCCAATAATGTCTGAGAAAACGTCAGGGCTTTTTTCTTTCTTCAATTTGTTTTCAAATTCATTGGATGGCAGCTAGCAAACAGTGCTATAATAGAAAACCCTAAATTATCTAGGGTTTTCAAGACAGCTAAATAGTGACAATCTGAATTATAGAGTGTTTTAAGTGTCATTTTATTACTTTTAACGTATTCTGTAACATAAACACTGGAGTAGCAAAGTATGCCCAATAGAGGTATGATCGGATCAACTTTAATGAAATGATGTGGACTGAGACTAATTTGGATTGTGAACATTTGCATGAAAATGGGTACAACTGAAATGACTTGAAATCAGTTTGTTCCCAAGTGAGAGTTAAATATCCACCTGCTAATCCCATTTATGGCTCATTCTCGGAGCATGTCATAATTTGAGCAAAGAATGACTCGCCCAATCTGTGCCCACAAGTACAAAGTTGACATATTAGTGAGTTTTCCGAAGGAGCTGTGGTCCAGTAGCCGTCTGACGGGTAGGGCTGCGGAGGTGTCTGTGGAGGGTATGCCTGCCCATTCGATGGGAACACACACAGCCGCCGTGGTCCTGTGCAATATCAAGAGTGGGGAATTCTCATCAGACTCAGGCCTGTTAGCCCCACTTCAAATTTGTTAGCAGCCCATCGTTCAAGCACATCAGTCTGCCCCAATACTCATGCTCTGGTGTAGGCTTCTAGATTTTTCCCAAAATATGTTTATTTCTCATTGGAACAAGAGTTTAATAAGTATTTGTGGTTCTAAATGTGTCAACAATAAAACAGGCTAAGGAGTAAAAATGAAAACTCCCCTTCCTCACCAATCTTCACTATGCTTTCCTTGCTCAGAATAACCGTTAGTGTGTCTCCTTGTGGCTGATTCTGTGTGCATTTTACATGTTTGTATGTGTGCACTCGCCTATCCCTGGCACACCTGTGGATGTTAAACACGGACATCCTATACACAATGGGTGTACTTCCTGATTCCCAGATAGTTGTGCCTTGTAATCATCAATCAATCAATCAATCAATCAGTTCTTTCCATCAAAGAATTTTATGTTTGTCTACATTCACTGTCAAAATGCTATGAAATATAAAATCCACAGAAGCTTAAATGGTATTGTTACTCTCAGCATCTGAAGCGGGAGGTTCAGAGACTGGGCTGGAGAGTCAAGGGGAAGGTAGAGGAAGGGAAATGAAAATGTCAGCATGGACTTTCTTCCTTAGGTGCCTGGAAAAGTGCCTTCTCCAGGTGTGGCACTAGCGCCTCTGCATCCTCAGTGAGACACATGCCTTCGGCAGACTGGGGTCATGGGCAGATGTTAGAAGATGGACAGGTGGAACAAGATGGCCTGGCTACTTGGAAACTTCCAGCTCTGGCATTAGGAGCTGTATGAGTTTAGTCAGTTCTCCCTTAACCTCTCAGAAACCTGTTGCTCTCTTCTGTAAAATTAAGAAAACAGAAACCTACACACTACATGCTTCACCAGGCTGTCATTAGGCCCAAGTAAGCTAATATCACTGCTGCGGTAAGATAATGTTACTCTGGAAGGGACTGTATCACTCAGGTTAGTAGGGATGGAACCAAAGGGATCAGGGACTACCATGATAAAGCCCCAGGGACTACCATGTTGTTGCTGCCAGTGGCACAGAGCCTGCAAATGAAGAAAGTCTGAATAGGTTTTCTGATCTATAGACTGTTTGACCTGGATGCAGAACCCCCGTGCCTCTGGACTTATGCTCAGATACGTTGGAGGGTCACTTTTTTGCAGCTGGGGATGTGGAAGGTGCTTAGAAATCCTTGGTCATGTCAGGGAAGAGAACAGACACTTTGCTGGCTGGTTTCAGTTGGGCCTGAGGAAACAGAGGGTCATAATAGTGATAGTCGCAATAATAGGAATAATAATAATGGGAAACACTTGCATAGCATGGGCTCTGTGCCAGACACTGGTCTAAGCACTTTATGGAGATTGACTGTTGGATGCTCCCAACCACCCCTATGAGAGTGTTCCGTCCCATTTGTGCAGTTAAGGAAGCTTAAAGCTTGGAGAGGTTAAGTAACTTGCTCGTGATCACACAGCTGGAAAGCCCGAAAGGCTGGATTCAAGCCCAGGAAACAAGGTTCCAGAATAGCTCTACAATTTGTCATATAGTGAATTTCCAGGCCCTTCCAGAGGCACCTCACGAGAGCCTTCCCAGGCTTTTCAGCATCATAAAGACATGACTTACAATGCTTGTCATAACCAGACACTCCAAGGCCCCCGAGTCAGTTCTCACTTGGCCCAGTGACTGTTGTTACGCACCGGTCCCCACAATGCATCTTCTACCTCCAAGAGACTGGTCTTAATCTGAATCATCTTCCTTTCTCCATCTATGACGTCACATGCCGTACCCTCATCCTTGCTGCTCTAGCACCAGCTCTGGACAGCCTTTCCTTACTTTTCCCCACATGAAATCCCTGCCTCCTTAGAGCTCCCCAAGCACCAAGGATGAATGATGCACAGGCCTGCCCATACTTGCTGCCCAACTCTTTCTTCTCCTTTAGTCTTGTCTCTCCAGCTGCATGGGAGGAGTAGCCTCACCTGGGTGGGCTCCTCTTCTCCACGTCCCGCTGCGCCCCGCACTCAGCACAGCCCCTGTAGACACGGCCTTTTCGATCCTCTCCAGGCAGCAGCGCGCCTGGTGGAGGGTTGTACTGCTTCGTTACGCCTGCGCCCCAACCCCCTGCCGGCCAGCCAGCCTGGAGTGCCGTCATCTCTAACTTTAGCCGCAAAACCAAAACCGGTCATGCTGCTAATTTTTTTTTTTTTTTCTTTGAAAATTCTAAACTTTTACTCTTGTACCAGAAGGAGGTCAGATCATTTGACAATTTCCTCAGATCACTTTCAGCTTTTATGTTTTCTATCTCCCTGTTCCTTCAAACTAACTGCAGGCTTTGGGGTTCTTGATTTTCAGGGATGCCAAGTCCCCACTTAAAAGTGGACCAGACAGCAACGCATAGCAAGAACGAGGGCTCCGTGTCCACCATGATGACCAGGAAGAAGCCAGCTGCGGTTGACAGTGTTGCCATCCCTCCCACCCCGGTGTTATCTCTCCTCGCTGCGTCTGCAGCGACCTCGGATGCAGGTGAGCACTTTTCAGGAGCTTTGGGCTCACCCCAGTGAAGGTGGGCATGGAGAAGACCTCCTGGGAATGTGGTGTTGAACACTGGTAAGAGTTCTCTGCTTAGCCAGCCTCCCGTGGCCACTCAGCAGGTGAGCTGCTCCGGCACTGGATTTGTCAAGTGGGAGGAGATCTGACAGAGAGGCCTGGAGGCAGAGTCCTCCTGAGGCCGCTTTCCAGTTTATCCTAACACATGCCCAGTGAGCAGCAAGTAATGATAACAGTGTCAATTACTCTTTGTCAAGCTTTAGTAATTAGGAATCTCAGCACCCAGGGCCTTATATATGTTATCTCATGTAACTCATAAAAAACTCTGTAAAATAAATACTTGTGACTTCATTTCAGAAGAGGAGGCTAAGAGTAAAGGAATTTGCCCCAGGAGCCTGTGGACAGTCAGGATTCCAACCCAGGTCCTAACCCCATGCTTCCAACCACTGCTTTTCTCAACCTCTCTTGCTCCCCGGAGTTGGGAAACAGTAATCAGAGTTTCCCTGAGGACTTGATTCATTCTACCCTCATGAGGTCATGAGTCGCTCAGTAGTCACCAGACTCCTCACAGGTAGTTGATAAAATATAAATTCCTTGTTCAGACACCCCAGATGCTCTGCCTTCCTCTACTCCCCACTTAATCTCTCACCAGTCCCTGCACCAGCCCCCGCTTTGCCACACTCATTCCTACTGCCAGGAAAGTAGGCCTTGGACTTGGCTTAACACCTTTCTTTGAGGACAGGTTTACTCAATTCCTATTTGCATCCCACAGATCTTTGAGGGCCAGACAGTCACACCTCTTTTGAATGCCTGTAGCATCCAGTGTCTGTACCATGCATTCACCTCCCACTCATAGGCTACATTAGACATGTCCTCTATTTAATCTCTACTCCTTGTAACAGAATTGTACATACCTCCGAGGTAGAATCCATGATTTGGGTCCTTGCTATCTTCATGACACACAGAATAATGACCCATTTCATAAATGTTTGTTGAGTTAATGCATTGGTCAATGGTAAGCATGTTGCAGTATTGAGAAATGCCTGTTATGATTAGAAGCCCAAGAAGAGGCTGATTATTGATATTCACACCAAACCCATCTTCTAATTCAGCAGGTTGCCTTTTTTTAAGCGGAGAACTCAACTTGTCTACATATCTACCTCCTTCATGGAAATTATTGGTAATTAGAAAATGTGTCTAATTGATATAACAGAAAAAGAATATTTGGAAGGATATTTCCTAACATGAGTTCAGCAAAATATTAGTAGGTGTTTTGTGATAAAAGATGTTTTTATAGTTAAATAAATGTAGGGAATTTCTACCTGCAGAGCTGTTCAGAGACTTTAATTAACCAGTGTTCATCGTGAGGTTCCAGGAGGGAGAGACACAGAATTTCAGAATTTTTCAGTCTCATCTGACACAAAACCCATTTTTCTGGAAATAGCTCTTAAAATAGTTCTTAACATCTCTTTGGAAATGGTGTTCTCCCCAGCCATTTGGGAAATCTTGTTCTGAAGGCACAGGATCATCTCTCAAATATGATCATAAATCTTCACATCTTTTACATGTTAGATGTGAAATGAAACGTTTTTGGTGGAAATGTCAGGTAAATAATGCCAGTGAGGAGTACAAGAAGAGGTCAGAGGAGGGAAGGTCACAGAGCAATGGGGAAGAAGCTACCCCTGAGACCTGATGGATCAGCAGCCCCTTGTGGGAGGGCAGGCAGGCAGAGGGAGCAATGTGACAGAGTCCGAAAGCGGGAGCTGGTGTCATGCCTGGGAATCAGGGAAGTCCTTACTCGGCTGGAGAGAAAGATTCTGGCCACAGTCTGCATTACACACCCAGAAAATTGCTTATTCGACCTTGTTGGTTAAGCTCCGGAGACCTCCCTTTATGGATTTAGAAATTAGCCCGCATGTTCCTGCCTTTGCTTGCCAAGCACAGATATTTCCCAGGGGCAAAAGACAGACAGGTGGTTCCCGCTTTTCTTCCCCTTGATCTCTTTCCATTCTGTTTGAGAGAAAGCATTCTTGGGATCCCAGCCTTCTATGGACTCGCCTCCTCTACTTGCATTCAGTAATTTACAAATATGCCAAATGGGCATAGAAACAGGTGGGTATTAAACTTTAAAACCTGCCTGCCTGATAGTCAGGGCATAGCCAAAGCTCTCCTGTTTCAGGATGTGGGAATGGGCTGTTTATTTTTAGGCAGTGCTAAATTGAGACCCTCATGAGGGTTTCACAGATTTGGTCCATTTCCGGGTCTCAGGCAGCTGAGCAGAACTTCTGGAGGGAAACAAGCCAGAGATCAACCCCCAGGTGCTGGAGGCCAGGCCTTCCTGATATTTTGCTCCCCAAAGACACACTGCTTCCCACAAACTGGAGAGGGTTAGGGTCCCACAGGCTCGTGTCCAGTGCCCTGTTAACATGTGATTAAGAGAAATCTCTGGGTCTCTGCAGTTTGCAATTGCATGAGGTCATGCAGTTGAACTAGGACACAATTTCTTGATTTCCCACCTGGTTTCCAGTGGATTCTCACCTCTGTCATAGGCCCAACATTAACAAAGGCAGGTTGCTTTCTCCCTAACTATGGACTCCTTTTTTTAGAGAACTGTGAGTGAAACTCATAATTTGATAAGGCGGATAGCCTTAACAATGTCAAGCACACAGTGGGCAGGTAATAAATGGTTTCTGGGTTTGATTTCATTCAATTGGGTGTTTGGGTATTAGTCATATACATTTCTGATGAGACAACTCACTTATTTTTTGTTTTCTTTAGAGTCCCCTTACTCACCTTTCACTATAAGCAAGGTAATTTAGAATTACTTCTGGCTGTGTACAGAAATCCACTTATTTTTCAACAGGTCTTCATTTCTACAGAATGGTTTTGAAGGCCCAGACAAGTGCAAAGGGAAATAAAAGAAAGAACAGTAAAACTAGGTGGCTAATAAAACAAAGTTAACCTAAATCATTTATTGAGGGAAAAAAAAAATACTGAAATAATTGGATTAATGGATGCTAAAGTTTCTAGTATAGTGCCTGACACATAGTGGATGCTCAGTAAATCATCACTGAGGAAATGAATGATTTGAGTCAGTATCTGCGTGCTGATCCAGCACCCAGCGTGGAGGGAGACATCTGAGAAAAGCACGCTCAGCCTTGGAACTGCCTAACAATCAAATGGAAAACATTTGACAGACTCGAGTTAGGCTGTTGGTAAATACTTGCCAAATAATTAGTCAGTCTATGGTTCCACCTGTACTTTTCCAAATGGGATCTTTGGAAAAAGAAAAAAAGGAATATTTCCCATTTTCTTTTATAAATATTATAATGTAGGAGAAATGAAGATGGGTCAGAGGTTTAACTATGTCTTTTCCAGCTCAATTGTGTGTGTATGAGTGCGTTCATGCTTTGTTTAAGGCGATATTTTCTCTTCTCAGTCTGGGAGGCATGCTGATTATGAAGTTATTGATTTGGAGGGGGGGTGGGAAGAGGAGTTGGAGGAGAGGGTGGCCAGATTGAGACCATGTGAGTTTGTGAGCTACTGGGAGGGAGGGATGGCAGTGGCTGCCACTGGGCTCAAGCAGGTCAGCCTTTGTGATCAAACTGCTCGATAGCCATTGATCAGCCACAGTCCCCTGGCACGAGGAAGGTCTGATTCAAGGGAGTAGTGCATCATTATTGTGAGTAATTAGGGCTAATGCAGTAAAAGCTTCAATAAAGTTTGTTCAAAGTGCTGCATAATTGGAAATAACTTCTATTGCACAGTCTCAGTCATAATTTACTAACTGTATCAGATAATCCAAACCTGAATGGGCCAGACTAATTTTTCTGATCTACATATTGAACTAACTTTTCAGGGAGGTTATGCAATGTGTAGAGAGTTCATTATTTTCCTACTGAAACATGCCCCCACCTTTGTATTTACAATGAGAATGTATTATTAAATAGGTTACAAATTCTGCAGGAACTCAGTAAAACACCAAAGAGACAATCTCTGTGGTTCTGCAGAGTCTAGCATAGAAATGATGGAAAACAAGCAGACATATCAATCTTGGTCTTTTCTCTTCTTGTCTCTATTCTGTTCTGTTTCTCTCTCCCCCCCCCCCC